TACTGATATAATGTTTGGTAATATCAGAGATCATTATGAAAATAATAAAGGTTATGTTTCTGTTGATTTGACTGTTGAGACTTCAGTTGATACAAAGGGTACAACATCTCAATCTCAAATCAATTAAAAATGATCATTTAAAGCCTTTTAAGTTCGATTTGTTAAGCTGCATAAAAACAATTATAAAAACGATTTTTAAATTTTTTTACTTTTTATTTACATGTTCATTTCTGCTTAATGTATATTTAATTAATGATCGAAATAACGGCTAAAAATAACTTTTCATAAAACTGTTTTAAACCATTATAAGTTGTGATAAGTCAATAAAATACAAATTTGTAGTGGTTTTATAACTGTGAAAAAATTTTGTCAAATGCCTTACAAAATGTAAAGATTATACCTTTAATCGTAGCAAACATTAATCAGAGCTCTCCTTTGCATAGATTTTGTTCGCCAACTGGTTTAATTTGTTGGAGAGATACGCGTTTAGTCAAATAACAATCTGTTTTTTTTTGGCTCGAATATTCATTCAATTTTCTTTATATAAATTTATGTCACAGCAATTTTGCTAAAACTCATTAAGATTTACGCTTTATCAAGTTTTCACATTTTGTATTTAACTTTATTTGGGTTTACCGGGTTTTGACTAAGGATGTTGTAATTAAATATTTTTGGAAATTTTCGATTAACGATTAATCGGTTAAAAAAAAACGATTAATCGATTATTAATCGATTAATTTATGAAATTACGAATCAACCGCTTCATCGTTTATTTTAGTTCTCAATTTAGTTGCAAAAAGTCCTTCAAAACTTCTCAATGCAAGTGAACTTACCTCAATGATTTCTAATGATTTTACAATTTCCTCAACCTGCTTAGTTTCACAATTTGTTGGATATAAATGAGTAACTGAAAAATATATTAGTACTGATTTTATTATTTCTTTCAACTCCAAGAACCGCTTTAACATTCTAAAAAATTCTATATAAAACCTAATCCTAATAAATGTCGATTAATCGTTCTAATTTTTTGATTAATCGATTAATTAATCAAATTAAAAAATAAACGATTAATAGATAACATCCCTAGTTTTGACCGGATTGAGTGTATTTTATAAAAATATTTTATTAATTTTTTAAATGACTTTAAACTTAGCTAAAATGGTCACTAAAGCTCAAAATATGATTTTTGCTAACCAAAAAAAATTATTTTTTGTAAATACTCAGTTGTTATAATGTATAAAATATGCAGGTTATAATTTTTTAAATACAAGATTTCGCTGTGAAAATTTTTTTATATAACTTTATAAATAACTTAATTATAAATAAATTTTATAAATACTTAGAGTCAAAAAACTTATTGTAATAACTGTACAATACTAAATAATGTTTTTACAAAGATGTCTGGCTATAAAAATAGCTGTTTAATAAAAAGCAGCTAAGACATTTTTTGAAGTTATACTTTTATATTTGAATTTTATTTAAAACACAACTCATAAGTATTTATAACAAACTTGTTAAAATCTTGTTTACTATCTATAGACTCTGTGTAAAAAGCTAAACTAAACCATTTAGACTTTATCTACCATTTTTCTTTGCAACTTCTTCTTACTATTCTTTTATAACCTTTTAGGGGCCTCAGTAAAGACAAGGTTTGTTGCTTGTTATGTTTCAGTATTAGTAGATTAAAGTTCATTTTTGAAATTCAGGCAGTTAAGTGAAATTCAACTGAACTTCCCACAGGTCAAACTCACGTAATAAAGCCTTTGGTATGGCAATAATAAATAAACCTAATAAAGTCTTTGGTTAAATAAAAGACACTTAAACATATGATTTGGTCTTTCCAACTAGTATAAAAAAACACTGAATTTCTGCATTTAGAAGAAACTGAAGATTAGAATAAAGAAATTAAAACACAGGTGCTTTATTACACTTTCAAATTGTATCAATCAAACATTGTATTAAACACAGTAATCAAATAGTGTTGCAAAGAAACAGTGATAACCAAGTTAAAATAATTTGAAATACAATTTTTAAGCTTGTTTAAAGCAAATTTGGAGTTGTTGATTAATAATATTTCTAAGAATAGAAACAAAATCTTTTAATGCTTGAATAAGATTTAAACTATAAAAAATATAATTATTACTTGCTTGCGCAATCGTGTAATTAAAAAAGTTTTAGTAAAAACATGTCTTGTTATACACAGTGCAACAATAAAATCAAAATTTGTTATTAACTTCAGTAGAAGAAGCAGTAGCAAAGGTTGCACCATTAAATTTTCTACTGATATTTTATGGCATTCTTTAAGACAGAAAACCACAGAAATAAAAAACTTTTGTAAAGTATCCATGCCACAATTTCACATTTCATAACATCCAAAGAAAAATCAGTAATAGCTTTTATTAAAACACTAAATAAACAAGTTTTTCCTTTTTAAGGTTCATCATAGTTCCTATTAAGATTTTCATGATTCTCATAAAGGAAAAACAATAAGTCTAAAATTTGGATATAGACATTCTAATTTTTTCGCTACAAATTTTTGATTGTCAAAGAAAATCAAGGAACAAATACTTGTTTTTATTTATACAATTATAAACAGCTTTTATTTGTAATAACTCTCTGTCTTTCTTGTATCCAAAGGAGATCGTTTTATCAAAAATTCTACACAATTAATATAATATTTAGTCGCCTAACTTTAATTTAAAGTTTAAAGGAAATTATGTTTTCTTTAACATACTAACTTTTTCTTTAAAATGCTATATAAACTTGTGAACTAAGCGACATTATGAACTAATCAACGGCCAAGGTATATGTTTAGTAAAATTTAATAATTTAATAAAACACAAATTAGGCAGGGTGTATGTTTAAAGGGAAGTCCGAATTTTATTTTCCATATTTGAAACCTTTTTTTCCTTATTTATTATTACAAATGCAAGTTATTAAAATGATACACAGGCTAGTGTAAGATAGCTGAAGATGTCCATTGCTATATTTTGATATATACTTGTTGTTACTTACCAATTTTACCTCCTTGTGTTAGTTAAACAATAAAACTTGATAAAAATTCTACCGTTTCTTCTTACTAAAATAATGATTTTAATTTTTTTTTTAACTAATGAAAAGCAAAAAAATTAAAAAAAAAAAAGTTCTACATAACAAAGTAAAATTTAAGTTTCTTTAAGTCAAAAGTTAGTTTAACCTCCAACAAAATATTGTAAGTATTGTTTTTTAATTATCACAAAATTATGAAGCCGATTTACTATTATGTTTTCCGGTTTTTTAATTTTTTCCCAACCGTTTCAGATAATTTACCGTGCATAATTTAGTTTTGGTTTTAATAGTTACATATAGTAAAACCTTTTTCAACAACAATCAAATTGAAAAACTTAGGTTTAATTTTTTTGGGTACGTTTAACGACGTAGCAGACATCCCCTCGACACGCCCGTGATAATCAGAGAGAAACTCAAAGTAAAAGTAAAGAACGTTATCACCGCCGCTTTTTTATTTCAATTTAAACCAAATTTTAAAACTTTAATTATTTAAAAAAAAATTTTAAAAATTTAATTTCGATTATATTATTTTGTTTTGTAACGTCGTTTACAATAAACGGTTGCTTTTAGCGTTATGGTTGGGTTTTGACTTTGGTGGTTTTCTTGCAGCTAACAAAAAGTAGAAAAATGGACCGAATTCAACCCAATCCAAAAATTAACTTTTACAATAAAAGGTTAGTTTTTGGAAGGGGTTGAATTCGGACTATTTTTCTACCGAATGTTAGGAACAAGAAAAAAACAAAAGTCATGGTGATAATAGTTGACACCATCTGTTCCTCAAAGTAAAAAGAATTGCTTAAAGTATTTTTTTTAAAAGAGTTTTAAATAGTGTCAAAGTTCAACTGTATAAATTTTCTTTTTTGAAACTCCTTTGGTTCTACAATTAAAATAACTATTTCTGAAGGTGGAAAAAAGAGTTGAAATGGTGTTGGTGACCATTTCCAGTTCTCTTTTTTCATGATATTAATTTCCAGTTCTCTCATGATACTAATTTCCAGTTCTCTCATGATACTAATTTCCAGTTCTCTCGTGATACTAATTTCTGCTCCACTTTTACTTATGGTTATTAACTAGTAAAATATTATTTAATAATCATTTTTTTTTGTATTTCTTTTATTTTGCTGTTTAACAAAAATAATCAACATACATATATACAAGAAAGAAAAGTCCGTAAAAACATAAAGTAACAATTATATTAATTATTAAATAACTATTTATAAAATTGAGCTTTTCAAGCTCTGTAAATTTTGCTCTCTTTACTGCTTATTAACTCCTCAGCTAGTTTTTGAAGTGCGTCTTTTATGTTCATCAGAGGCGGCTGAATAAGTGCGAATTTCATAAATGCGAACTGGCGTAGGTGCGAACTTGCATAAGTAAGAAGCTGTTGCAAAAACTAGCATAAGTGCGCCGAAAGAATTTGCGAACATTGGAGTAAGTGCAAAAGAGTTGCGAAAACTGGGATAAGTAAAAATTAGTTTCAAAAACTGGCATAAGTGCGACGCTTAAATTGGCATATGTGCGCCAAAAAAAAAACTGCAAAAACTGGCATAATTGAGCTAAAAGAATTTGAAAACATTGGCATTAGATTCGTAATTATGCCAATCATTGCAAATTCTTCGGCGCACTTATGCCAGTTCGCCTTTAAACCAATGTTTGCAAATTTATTCGGTGCATTTATGCTAGTTTTTGTAACTGTTTCACACTTATACCAGTTTTTGCAACTATTTCGTTTAAAATAATTTTAAACAACTTGTTATTTTGCTAACTTACGTTTAATATTTAATTAGTGAAATACATAATAACCTATAACAAAAAAAAAATTTTTTTTGTTTATCTACTCCGAATTATTATTTCAAGGTTTTTCGTAGTCATGGTTCCAAACATTAAGTTCGGATTGACATGAATAAACTTACATTACTAACATCTTTAAATATAAAAAAAAAACAATATTGTCCAAAGACTTGCTTGCTATTATCAATTTTATAAGATCATATCTAATGGAGTTCGGTTAAGTAAGAAATAACACTGCTTTAAAGATTTGGAGTCTTGATAAATTCAAGAATTGGCCTGGTTTAATAAACCCCGAATTCGCAGATCGTATACTACTTGCTCGACTTTTTTTAGGTCGTACTTTAAAACATCAAAACGTTTCCGCACTGCATCATTTTTTAAGTGGAGCAATCGAAAAGCTCTATCAAGTTCACACAAAAACTTACCTATTTTAACAGGTTGTTCATAGTTACCTGCAATAACATTATTTACGGATAGACGAGACTGAAAGAAAAAAATGTAAACTTATAAAAATAATACAACTCTCAAACTTGAACTGTCTTTAAATAGATAAACTAACCAACTCACTGGATAGATAAACTAACCAACTCACTGGATAGATAATAACTAACCAACTCACTGGATAGAAAATAACTAACCAACTCACTGGCCATTTCCAATACACCAATTAAATAATCATCCAAATCCAAATGAAAACCATTTGAATCTTCTTGGTTACATACTATATAAAAATAAATCTTTCAAATAACAATTAAGTTTAAAATGCATTTTTCCAAGAATAAAATAATAGAATAAAACCTATCGGTCATATTCTTGTAAAATTATAAATTGAGCTTTTCAGGCAATTTTATAAGTTAATTTAAAAACAAAGTCCTTAGTTAACAGGAATTTTCAGGCAAAAATGGCTAAGCCTCCAGATAGTAAAAATTTGAAAACGTGTTTAATTTTCCAAAAACGGTTGCTTCTATACTGAATCAAAACAATAAAAAAAAATAAAAAGTGTATTATTAATAAAAAAAGTTGAAATTAATTCTTCATTAAAACCTAATAATATTGGGACTATTTTTAGGTGTACCAATAATAGTGACAGGAGCTTATAATCACCATTCAGAAAAAATTAAATAAAACTCCTGCATTTTTTAATTTTCTTTTTTTTTTCAACTTTAAATTAGAAAAAATTTTACGAGATTAAATATGAGTAATTGCTACTTCTTTTTATAAAATAAATTTTAAATTTTTCAAATATTTTGTTAAAATTTAGTAACTAATTTTCAGCCGACATAATTCCATATTATCAACATTGTAAATTGATTTTAAAACTTGCCAAAAAGAAAAAAAAACTTTTCATATCACTGTCTGCTGTCCGTACTTAAAAAATGACATTAAAACTGTAGAAATCATACAAAGAAGAGCGACTAAAATTATTAATGAGTTAAGATTACACCTAAGAAGACCGGCTAAAAAGATTAGGAATTATGTCTTTAGAAACTATCAATTGCATAAACCCCTTAAAGGGACTACCAAGTCCCGAGACATGTTGTGTTCATATTAATGAGAATGTTAAAAAAAAACGTCTGAGCAAATTTTTTTTGATTAAAACTAATAATAAATGTATACCAAGAAAAACAAATCTTGTTGTTTTAGTCGAAGCTCGTCTTCTCCGTTTTCTCTGGTATTTTGAGTATGTAAAATAAAGGCGATTTTCCAGGCGCATTATACAGACTTGATACAGGGTTTCTCACCTCATTTCGACAATGCATCACTACATTTCAACACTTTTGCATTCAATTTCGACATTGTATGACTACATTTCGCCACTTTTGCATTCAATTTCGACACTGTTGCATCACATTTCGACAATTATCATCATAAATATAAACACTTTTATTAAAGTATTTATATTTATGATGAAAAGTTTTGTTAAATAATAATGGGTTGAATTTAATCGGGACAATAAAATAATTAATGTGGCTATTTTTTTAATTCTGCATTACAGGGTCGTCCACAGTTATTTTCGTCGCGTCCATAATTATTTTCGTCACGTCCATAATTATTTTCGTCGCGTCCATAATTATTTTCGTCGCGTCCAGTTATTTTCGCCGCGTCCATAATTATTTTCGTCACGTTTAAAATTATTTAATATTATAAAAGATTTTTTTATTGCTTAGAAAATGAAACAAATCTAACACGTTTTTAGATAAAATATACGTATACTATTTTAATAAAAATTTTACAGTTTGAATGTGAAAAAATACAAATAAGTAAATAAAGATATAAATACAAAGATGTAAATGCAAAGATGTAAATAAAGATATAAGATAGTCAATAAATTTCATTTAAATGAATTCATTCCGTTGGGTTCCTCTTACTACCCATTCACGCATATGTGTATAAAATCCTTGTAGTGATTCATTACGAGATGTTAAAAGAATATTTGATATTTCCATTTCCATATCCCCTGTTGTTGCTGGTCTTGGAATAATTCTATTGTATCTATTTTTTATTACCCCAAAAAGTTCTTCAATGGGATTAAGTTGCGGACTATAGGGTGGGAGAAAGTGAACAACACACATTCCATTTTGAATTGCAGAAGTTACAATAGCTGAATGATGAAATCGAGCATTATCCATAATGATAACATATCTTCGATTATTAGGTCCACGTTTTTTTGGTTTAGCATCGGGATTATTTGAAAGTTTCATTACCCAATTTTGGACTGTTCTTAAAGAAAGCCCAGTAGCTTGTGAAATTTCAACGTTTTTTTCTTTATTAGCTACCATACTCTTTATTGTTTCAACGACAAAAATAATTATGGACGCGACGAAAATAACTGTGGACGACCCTGTATTTAAAGTAGGTACTGACATCATGAATATGGTTTCAATATTTTTTTGGATATACATATAAATATAAAATATATATATATATATATATATATATATATATATATATATATATATATATATATATATATATATATATATATATATAAGATATATATAAAATATATAGGTAAAATAAACAATGTGGATATTAATTATTTCAAGTTACCATAATAGTTGTTTTTAATTGCTATATTCATTATTTTTATTGACCGGATAAATTATGTCTAATTGCCAAAAAAAAATACTTACGCTTTGGAAATTATCCCAACAATACATAATTAAATTGTCAAAATAAATTAATGTTATAATTTTTTATTAAGTAAATAAAAGCATTTGACTCTTCAATATAACAAGAGTTCATAATAAAAGCTTAAATATCATTTTCAATATTTATAAACAGCAATGCCAAATCAAACAATCAACAATGAAAACCGTTCAAGGATAATTGAATCTTACTTAAATGGAAACTCACCATCAGAAATTGCAAATATTCGTGGATTTAAACAAGCTGCAATCTATTCAATTATTAAAAAATATAAAAATGGTTTGCCGATAGAACGGCAATTAAAAGATGGTTCTAGAAACAAAAAATTAACAGAAGAATCCAAGGTACTAATCAAAAATTAAATTGATGATAATTGTGGAATAACTCTTAAGGAAATTAAACAAAAACTTTTTAACAAAAATCCATTTTAGTCAGTCAATCTACTATAGCAAGATGCATTGATAGTTTTAATTATACTTTGAAACGTGTTCACAATATTCCAGAGAGAAAAAATTCGGAAGACGTTATTAATGAAAGAGCTTCTTATGCAGAAAGATTCATGAACATTTTGTCTTCTATGAATGACAATAAAATATTCTTTATTGATGAAGTACGATTAAGTCTTTCAATGCGAGTTAGAAGAGGACGTTCTTTAGCCGGAAAGAGGGTCACACAAACAGTGACCAATATACGGTTAAGAAATATTTCCGTCTGTTGTGCAATGAACAAAAACGGAATTTTAAAATATGAAGCACAAACAACAGCATCTAATACAGAAAACTTTTTAGATTTTATTCGTTTAGTATTAGCACAATTAGCTGTTAATGAAGTTGTTGAAGCTATCTTAATTTTAGACAATGTTCGTTTTCATAAAACTGCTGTTGTTCATAATGAAATAGTACGTGCTGGGCATTCTTTGATATTTTTACCTCCATATTCCCCCTTTTTAAACCCTATTGAAAATATGTTTTCTGAATGGAAACAGTTTATCAGAAGATGTTCGTCTAGGACTGAGGAGGAACTGCTTGAAAATATACAAAACGGTGAATTGAATATTACTAGCACAAACTGTAATAATTATTTTGCGCACGTACTGAGGTATATGATTCCGTGTTCAAGAAGAGAACCAGTTATTGAAGAATAAACTTACTTTTGTAATTTTTATTTTTATTAGCAAGTATTTGCAATTACAATACTTTATATACGATAATTTTTTTCTTTAGATTTTAGTTTGTATTCAAACTAAAAAATTATATTATCTAAATGAATTTAGAAAGAATCTAACTGCTTTATTTGTATATTAATTTAAGTATTATTAACGCTGTCGAAATTGAATGCAAAACAGTCGAAATCAAATGCAACGGTGTCGAAATTGAATGAAACATTGTCGAAATGTACTGATACAATGTCGAAATTGAATGATACGTTGTCGAAATGAAGTGGGAAACCCTGTAATTTATTCAAGCACGTTTAATTCATAGGAGTTTTAGTGCATGACGTCACAGATTTTTTTTTGTTTAAAACACCGATTGTTATTTTTTACATACAATTTCCAAATCATACTCATTTTTATTATATTTTAAAGTTCTAAAATGTGTTTGTAAAACAAAATTAAAAACAAAATAAAATTAAAAACAAAAATAAAATAAAAAACAAAATAGTATTTTATTTGCGCAACTTTTTTTAAATAATCGTTTAGGCCACGTGTATTTTGATTTCTTTTGTGATAAGTTTTTCTTTCAAAATATTAGATAAAATAATTTTTAACCTTAATAGTAATCCACTTTTATTAATTTACTTTGTAAATATAAAATTATTAACGCATTTTTTCTCTGATTTTCAAAAATGCATTTTTTGGTATTGAGGTGATCTTTATTTCATTATTTACATTTCCATTATAACATCCAATATATATTATGGTGGGGGCTTAAAAATTAAAAAAATAATATATATTAATTTTTATTTTACAGACATACATGGAAACATAATTAACTTTACAGACATACATGGAAATGAAAAACACATCTTGCGGAAGAATAAAAAGAATATTAGCGAACACTAAAAACCCGCCAAATTTGCGAACAAATTAATTCTATTGGTTCAAAAAACACGCTGACTAAGCGAAATAAAGTTCTAGAGTATTCTGTTGAAATGATTTAGGAATTGTATTATTTACGATTTGTTGCGTTTTGAGATATCTAGCATAAATTTTTTTAAGAATGTATTATCAAATGAACTATTACTTTAAAGGTGAGTTTCGACTCATCCGTTTTTTCACGGGAACGGGATAGGAAAGGGAAAAATAATCACGTGAGCATGCGTAGTTTTCCTTCAGACATATTCAAACTTAAACTATGCATGGCCACGTGATTATTTTTCCCGTCCCTTTCCCGTTCCCGTGAAAAAAACGGATGAGTGGAAACTCGCCATAATATTATGGCTCATTCTCGGAGCCACATCTGTAAAGCCGTAAAACTTTTAAACTATTATTATTTGCTTACAAAAATAAATGTTTTATAATATATATTTTTTAAATTGTCAAAATTTTGAAAGTTAATTACAAATTATATATTTTATTAGTATATTCTTAATTTTTATATCTTTTCTTAGTGCTTGGTTTATTTAATTGTTCGTTAGATTTGTAAAAAACTAACGAACAATTAATAAATAAACTTTTAATAAAATAAGTAACTATAGTTAGCTATTTGAGTAAAATTTAATAGTAAAATTTTTAAAGAATTTCTAGAATGTTTCCAATGGCGTCATGCTCTAAAACTCCTATGAATTAAACGCGCTTGAATAAATTATCAAGTCTGTATAATGCGCCTGGAAAATCGCCTTTATTTTACATACTCAAAATACCAGAGAAAACGGAGAAGACGAGCTTCGACTAAAATAACAAGATTTGTTTTTCTTGGTATACATTTATTAATTAGTTTTAATCAAAAAAAATTTGCTCAGACGTTTTTTTTTTAACATTCTCATTAATATGAACACAACATGTCTCTGGACTTGGTAGTCCCTTTAAATACCAACCAACTGCATTATCTTGTTCTACAACATTTAGTTAGACTAAATACAAAGTATCACTTATTTTTGTTCGTTGGAAGTGCTACATATAATTTTTCAAATATTGAGGATTGGCTGAACTTTATGTCATTTTTTACTTTTTACATTTTTACATTTTTTACTTTTTACATTTTTTATTTTTTACATTTTAAACTTTTGTTTGATCTTACAAGAAAAAAAAAACTGTTTATAGTTTCATACAGTTATCTATTATTTTACAATATATTTTTTCAACTCTAGGTTTTAGCTTTACCAGTTCCTTGAGCGACATTACTTTTGTTATAAGCTTTCTATGCTCCCTGACTACCAAAAGAATGTTCTGAAGTTTTCAATTAAACTAATATTTCTTTCAGCGCAGTCGTTGGTCACACTAAAATTGCGAACTAACTGAGTAAAATGTTTGTATAAATCTAGCGATAAAAAATCACTTGAAGTATACCACTCTCAAACAGATTCGGTGTGACCTGTAAATATAAAAAAAAGCCAACTCTCCTTCGTAATTAAATCCTCTAATCAACTACCAGTGGTAACAATAACAGCAAAAGGAGCTTCTACAGAAATCTCTGATAACCCAGGAACTGGAAATTTTAAAAGTTTCTCAATGGTTAAACGCTTAGCATCTGCTTTTATATGAGGATCAACTAACGATAGTACGACAACCTTAGGAGACAAATACCATGGTTACTCATGCTTTTCTGAAGTGAGTTTCCAACTTCATAATCCCATTCTGTTTTAACTGTTTCAGCAATTTTGAATGCATTAAAATTATTTAGAACAGCATCCTCTGCTTTGCCTTAAGAAAGGCAGGACCATAATAAATAGCAACAATAAATGTTACCCTTGAGACCATATGTTTCTTTTCAGGAGTCAGATATTCAATGACTGTGGAGTTCAAATTTAGCATTAGAAAGTATATTGCATGGACCATAAAACTTGCATTGTGAGAAGCGCCAAGCTGATAGATGTGAAAATTATTTAATTTCTCAGATTTAACATTCATGTAATACGCCAAATATTCAACAAGATGCCTATACAGGGAGGCCACTCAAATTTGAAAATAAAATTCCATGACTTTTCCATGACATTTCCATGACTCTTCATAAACTTTTATGATAAATCACTTGAGTAAAATATTTAGTACTTGCCATGCACTAAGCATTTGCAACTTGGTCATTATAAAGCATGCAAACCTAAAACTAATTGGTAGAAAGTTCTAAAATCATGTCTAAAAAAAACTCCTAAAACTAATTGGTAGAAAGTTCTGAAATCATGTCTAAAAAAAACTCTTTTTCTTTTACTTCTCTGATAACTTACACTGCAAAAATATTTTTTTAAAAAGGATGTAGACTTGACATATAAGTACTTTTACATCCTAAAAATATCACAAGTAGAAAAAAATAAAGATCATTTAAAAAAGATTTATGAACTTTCCATGACTTTCAATGAAAATTTAAGAATTCCATGACTTTTTCCATTACCAAATAAAATTCCATGACATTTCCATAATTTCCATGACCAGTGGCCACCCTGCTATAATCATTCCTAAAATATTCCTAATTTTATTTAATATGAAAATTTAATTAATATAGTTGGAAAGAATTTTTATTTAACGATGGAAGTTGGTTTGTAGGTAGATAGTTTAAAGGCGAGTTAAGCAGGTAAACAGACCTACGAGCGTTATAACTAATTTCTTTCGTTTTCCTTTCTTTGATTTTCAACATTTTGTATGTATATGAAAATAGTAAAAAAAAATCAAAATTTAAAGTATGATAATTAATAAATCAAAAGTTGCGAGGTCATTAAACGCAAACCACTAAGTTTATGGTGCAACTAAAAAATTTTAAAAATAATTGTGAATGACCACAAATATTTTAAAAACATCTTGAGTTTTTGACACATGTTTTAAAAACTTGCTGAATGATTTGAAGATGATAAAATAATGATAAAGAATTAATAAAGGCTTGGAATGCAAAATTTTCAAATTTACTTCCTGATCACTAAGGGATTTAAAATATTTTTTATAGACTCCCGAAGTTTGGTAGAACCGGAAAATGTACTGCGGCTTTTTTTTTTTTTTTTTTTTCTTTTGTGTCACCCTAATAAATAAATTTAAAAACAAGATAGACAATGATTTTAGAAACAATCAATTTGAAGGCTATTACAATGTAACTTAATACTGCACTCCATTTTTTTTTATAAAACCATAAATATAACTATAGTAACCATACCATAGCTATAACTATAGTAACCATACCAGTAGCTATAACTATAGTAACCATATAATAGCTACAGAACCATATAACTATAGTAACCATATATAACTATAGTAACCATATAGTAGGTATAGTAACCATATAAACTTTGTATTATTACTCTTATTATTATGATAATATAAAAAATTAACAAATTAATAGAGGAGCATATTGCAGCGATCAAAGAGAAGAGATGATTATAAGAATATAGAGCCAAATATCAAACTAAATCCTCATTACAAAGCTTATAACAACAGTAGATAACTTTTGTATTATCAAACAAATACTGACAAAATTTGTTTACTTTGCATTATCTCAGCAACCTTTTGATTTGAAATTAATTTTCCACATTGAAAATATTCGCAGAAAGCACATGCAAACACAATTTTTTGAAAAATATTTTTCCAGTGGTGATGAAATCTAAAAAAAAAGTTTACACCTTACTTTATACTAATTGATTGTAAAATAAATTTTATAATACTTATATAAAAAGTGTTAATTTAACTTTAATTTATATAAAACTATTGTCAAAACTTTTTCTTTAAAGTTTCAAAATAAATCTATCGCTTGTCACATTATGCTTTTTTTTTGTTAAACGTGCCACAGTAAAACTAAAATTTCAAAAACCACCTAATATTGTGGTCATTTTAATCTACCTACTTTTTGTCACTCATAAAATCCAAGCTCGTGTCACAACAGATGTCAATATTTTTTCGTTAACTGATATTTTGGGTTATAATAATAATTGATCTTAATCACAAAGATGAATGAGCGTTGTATGATGCAAGTAGTTTTAAACAACAGTTTTAAAGTCTCTGTAGAAATGTATAAATAGAATAATTTAGTTTCTGTTTTTTCTATTTATTCTAGCAGATAAGAAAGCAAATCAGTTTTATTTTCTTTCTTAAGTTTTTATTACATAGTTTTTTTACTTCCTTTAAAATTAAGTCATATATTGATTATTGATACACTGATACATACATATATTTAACTGTTTCATAGCATAATTTATTCATTAATAAAAAATTAAACTTTTAATTGTATTTCTTCATCCCCACTTAAATATTCTGAATAATTATTCTATCTGCTTTTTTTAAGCAACAAGATAACAATTATAATATAGTAACTTTCACATTTCACAAAAAACAATTAAAAAACACAAATAAATAACAAAATGAAAACAATAACAACAAAAAAACAACAATATAAACATAACAAATAAACCAAACAAACATAATAAAAACAAATAATAACCTATAATATTCTCTGTGCGGAACAATGGTTGAAAGTGTCTTAATATATGCAGGAGTTTCTAAAATTCTATTTTGAATTAATTCACATATATCTTTAATTCCTAGATGGAAAAAAATAAAATAAAAAATAACTAAATATCTTTACTTATTTCATATATTTTGCAAGTTTAAAAAACTAATAAATTAATAGCGTATCATTTGTGTTCATAAAATATTATGCTGATTAAATATTATTTCATGAAAAATGTTAAACCACTTTTTGTTCATTTCTTGATTTTTATTTACATAAAAGTTTAAAGTACTTGACAATTTTTAAAGATTGTCGAAAGGTTGTTAGATTAAATGTTTTCTTGCTTCAAAACTTTGAACATCTGTTTTTAAAACACAATTTTTCTTTTAATTTTAATGTTTGAAACAACACTCTGAAAATAATAGAAATAATTAAAATTGAAACTTTTAATGTTAACTAATAAAACTATGGTAAACAATTTTATTCAGGAGATAATCAAACTGTTATACATAATTCTTACCCTAATGAAAGCATATACAATAACAAAATATCTATTTAAAAACTTTCCTTTGTTTCAAACTTTCCTCATTCAATTAGCGCAGGGGAACCCAAATAAGTGTTAAAACTTATTTGGGTTCCCCTGACCCTTAATATATGACACGAAACCACATTTAGCAGTAACATTTATTTTGTTTTGACAGAATATACTTTGTTTAAGTTTGACAGAATATACTCTTAGGACCAATAGGGAAGGGAGAAACGTTTATGCCTGTGTGAAAATTTCTCTCCCACTGATATCTAATAAACTTAATGTCTTCACAAAAGAGGAAAAAAATATTACAAAGAAATAAAAAAATAAATTGATAAATATTTGTCTTTTGCAATACAATGAATTCATGAAATGGTTTTCATGTATTAAATAGGCCCATCAAGAATCCTGGCAAAGAAAAAATGCATAATGTAGAGGAAGCAACAATAAAATAATTATCACATGCTTATTTTTTTTAACAAAATGTGAGCCTATACTTGCTTATAAACATTATGCTTAAATTTATATATATATATATATATATATATATATATATATATATATATATATATATATATATATATATATATATATATATATATATATATATACAGGAAACATGTCCTGCAAAAATATATATATATATATATATATATAAAATATATATATATATATATATATATATATATATATATATATATATATATATATATATATATATATATATATATATATATATATACAGGAAACATGTCCTGCAAAAATACACATAACATGTTCCCTTTTTCAAGTTAGCAATTCATTTAGCATGTGAATTCCATCTATCACTGTGTATAATTGGTAAGTTACTCCACCTAACTACATGATATACACCAGTTACTTTGAAAACTGGAATGCTCAACTTAACAAACACTGATTTCTCAAACCATCTTTCCAACCTGGAATTTGAACATTTTGTATTTTCCTTTCTTGCATGAAGAACTGCTGCAAGTTATCATTGTTTTATCACATCATCTACAAATTCATAAATAAGAGTTTGTTTGGTTGAAGAAGTTGGATTAAAGAAGTCTAACACATGCTTCAAGATTCTGTCAAGAATGCGATATAGTTCATATATATAAAATTATCATGATGATGATCCACTATTACTTTTATTTATGTTACAAATAACTAATTTCGACTCTCAACTGAACTCTTCAACAGTTGATCCTCTTGATTTATGCCTTTCTTACTATCAAAATGAATGAACTTAGTCTCTTCTTGTAAAATCGATATTATTTTGCACTTTTCATCATTACCACTTCTTAGGAAAACTTAACAAATAATAATTTGTGATGACTCCATCTATGGCTAAACTAGAACACACTGCAGCAGCTTTTCTAGTTGAAGGAGTCTTTTTGTTAGTGACTAACTTAGCAGTTATATTTTCTAATTTCAACTTGAAATAAACCCTTATTCATCTATTTTCATTGTTTATTTTAAAATATTTGCCAACGTTATATACCATTGTTTTGATAAAGTTAGAAAGATGAATTAAAAAAATGAATTTTTCCCACAGAACGAAAGTTATAATTCTTTTTATATTTTCTAGAAGCATATGATATATATATATACATATATATATACATATATATATATATATATATATATATATATATATATATATATATATATATATATATATATATATATATATATATATATATATATATATATATATATATATATCAATACTCTTTTATAGTTAGATATTTTTTTTCTAAATTATGTAAAAATAGTTGCAATTTTCTTAGTTGTTGCTTTTATGTTATAAACGGTAATAACACATGGTGTAGTTAATGCAGTAGTGGCGTAGTGGTAGAATGCTCGCTTTATAAGCGAGAGGTTCTGAATTCGATCCCCACCAAGTCCCGAGAAACGAGTTGAGCGCAGTACTGGTAGTACCGCGCTCAACTCATTTCTTTGCGCAGCGGCCTTGTTTAACAAGGTTCGTGTTTCGGAGTTATAGAGTTGAGAGAGGGTTATATAACCACAAATAAGTAGCCTCCTCGTCTGTAGTAGCCTTCTCGGCCTTGAGGAGGTGAACTAACAAAAAAAAAAAAAAAAAAAAAAAAAAAAAAAAAAAAAAAAAAAAAACAATATTAGATAATTATTTATTGAAAATATACTTACATTAAAATTTTAAAATTCCAAATGTGAACTATAGAAAAACAATCAATGTTTTCCATACACTGTAAAAAAAACTTCTCAGTTATTTTTTTTAATGCAAACTTTGTTTTTTGTAAAAAATATGCAAAAAAGTTGATCTGAAAAGTTTGAAAGATTAGCACTCTGATTTTAATAATCTGAAAATGAACCCGCTATGTTGATCATTTTTGAATGAACCCGCTATGTTGATCATTTTTGAATGAACCCGCTATGTTGATCATTTTTGAATAAATCACTTTGTTATTTTTGTTGGATATATCCTAAAAACAGAATTTCTAAATAGTTTATTCCAAGCATTCAAAGTTTTACTGTGAATTTTAAAAGTCTGATTGTAGCAACAACAAAAAGTGTAATGATGAAATAAAAAAAGAACTTAAACATAAACAAAATGTCTTAGAATTATCATTAATTTCTCACCTTGGTTAGTTGCATTACAGTGAACATCTTGAATAAAAACAATAATTTCTGTTGTTTTTTGATTCAATTGAGTAGTGATTGATTTTATGTTCTAAATAAAAATAATCTTTTTTAATAATTTTTGCTACTGCTTTGTGAAAACATTAATTTTTCGAACAATTTTTTCACAAATAAATAGCAGAAAAGACTCCAAAATTTTCGGCTTTATGTGAATTTCCAGATTTTCAAAAATTCAGGTACAATGTATTGAATAAGAACCATTCTACTTTATATATTAAACATGAAAATCACGTTAAATCAGTGGGAAAAATATGAAAATTACATCTAGGACCTGATCCAGTGCACAAATTTATTGAAAAAGTATTCCAACAAATAGACTATAAGACTACCACTATAAAATTCAAGCAGCATATTTGCAGAATCTAAAAACCCATGGTACGATGGTAATTGGAAATTTTTTAACTATAATAATTAATGATACAAAATAATAACTAATGATAAAAAAATTGTAAAAATAATTACGATATAATTTAATACAATTATGAACTAATTTACAGCAAGTAAAAAAAAACAACAATTTCAAAAATTATTATAACAATAACAATAGAACTATTACTACTACAAAACCACTACCATAATTATCATAAATAATATCAATAAAGTAACTAAACAAACAAATATTAATGATAATAATAATAATAATGTTATAAATAATAGTGTAAAATAAAAAAAACTAACAGTTTTGTTATTACCTTAATATATTAAAGCAATGATAATAAAACATATAATTAATATTTCTTAGATACTCAAATAAAAAATTTTCAATTTGGTTTCTATTGAAAAGAAGAAAATTGTTAATAAAAGAGTATTTAGTTAAAATTGTTTCTTAATATATAAATAGTATTAATTGGTTCCAGTGAGAAATACATTGATGTTTTATAGAGAGTTATTCATGTTTGACAATGTGGAGAAAAGAATGGTGCAAATTAACATTTTCAGTATTTCGAGTATAATATTTACTTGTTTTAATAAAAAAATTAATAAACAAATTCGGTAGATTATTTTGGAGAAAATCAAACATAAAAAGCCAAAAAGTTTCACAAGAATAATTATAATAAATTATAAAATTTTACAAGACCTTGAAATTTCAGAATTTTCAATTCAGAAAACCTATTTTGGAATTGTAAAGGAGAAAATGTCATAATTCTTATGGATGTATGCTGTTTACTGTTTATACGATTTAACAGGAAACTTCCTTTTTAATCCAAACAATTAAATAATAGCTTAGATAGGAGGAGAACAAGGAATAATAAATTGATATTAGTGAGACAAATCGTTTATTTATATCAAACACAGTAAAGACCGAAGAACAGAACCCTGTTGGACACCATATTTGATAACTTTATTTGTAAATTCAAACCCATTAGTTGAGAACTACTGAGTACGATTTTGAATATAAAATGATTACCAACTATTAGCAATGCCCTGTATCCATAGTAATATAACATTTTAACTTTACAACAAGTGGACAGCTGTATCAAAAGCTTTTTGGAGATCAATAAAGATGCCAAGAGATCAATAAAAGGCTTCTGATCAAAATGCAAGGCTTTAAATATCTACTGGCCCTTTAGTTGTGTCTCTATCCAGTACATAGACCAGATCAAGGAGGGGATAACCAATCACATCTTTCTTTTTATAAGAAACGACTAATAATTGTTCACACTCTTCACATGCTAGTAGGTAGGTAGGTTAAAAGGGTACTGGTTTCCAATTTAGTACATAAGGGCTAGTAACTAAGTGCAAACTTCATAACAGCAAATGTAAAGTGTAAATGTTAAGTGTGAATAGACATAAGTGTGAAGCAGTTGAAAAAACTGGCATTGGTGCAAAATAGTTGCAAAAACTTGCATAAATGCAAATTAGCATAAATCTGAACAGGCAAAAGTTTGTTGAAAAAATTTGAAAACACTGGTATTAGTATATATTGACATAAGTGCTAAACTGACATAAGAGCAAAGCAGTTGTAAAAACTGGCATAAGTGCATAAAAAAAATTTGTAAACATTGGCATAAGTTCATACTGGATCAAGTACAAATTGCCATAAATGCACTGAAAGAATTTGCAAAAATTGACATGTGTGAATTACCATAAGTTAAACTTACACCATTGATTAGACCAGTTAAACTTTAACTTGTTTCTTCGCACAACAGCCTTGTTCTTCATGATTTGAGTTTTGGAGTAAAAGAGTTGAGAGAGGGTTGTAATCACAATAACATAGTCTCCTCAACTGTACTGGCCCTTTTGGCCTTAAGGAGGAGAATCACTATAAAAAAAAAAAAGCGCTAATCCTATGCTTATATTTTTGCTTTTTTTTTGGCACACTTATGCAGCTTTTACAATTTTTTTGGTGCACATATTTCAGTTCACACATATGCTTTGCACTTATGACACTTCGGATCTAATACTACTGGTTTAACAAATAATACTGGTTGTTAAGTAAACTTCATAACTAATGTTTAATGAATATTTATTATTCCACTTTGATTAACTTAGATTAGCCAAGTTAAAACAACTTTACCAGTGCTAATGGCAAATATCTTATCTTTAAAAAAATTGAACATTTATTCAGCATTCAGAATATGCAGGGGTAATTCCATGTCAAATTATCCTGAAAATTTTTAAAATATCAAAATAAATTAGCCTCTAGCTCCAAAAAAATACTGAAATATGACCATTTTACTTTTAGCAGATATCAGTCAGGCTCCTCTGATACCCTTAGAATTGCAATTTTTATTTAAAGGTTTCAAGTTACAACTTTAAAAATATTTTATCTTTTCACTTAAAAGTTTGTACCTGATTATTTTCAGGGTGAAACCCAATGAATTGATCAGAAATGTAAAAAAATTAATATAAAGTACCTGTATTTATCAATTTAAATAAATTCTGGCAATCTTTATATACATTATTTTGATGCTCAAGAAACCTATGTGGCCCTGATGATATCCAAAAAATGGAGTTGGAACTCTGAAATGTTTGCTATTCCTGTAGTGCTAATGAACGTGTGTTAAAATTGTCTCACTAATTTTCTCAGAAAGTTCATGTTTATAAGAATTTTGATTTGCATGTATACAGATTAAAAACAGTCTATATAAAATAATGATTTTGACAGAATTTTACATTAAACAATTACAAACATTTTGAATTGAAAAAAGTTGATACTTTTTAATGCTAAAATCATAACAGCAAGTTGTTTAATTAACTAAAATCCAAAAGTAAAAAAATACTGCCATACATTTTATCAATAAAAAAGAAATTTTTGAATAGATAATTTTCCATAACCAGGGTGTTCAAAATCCTTTAAATAAAAGAAATTAAAATAAAATTGAAGAAAGTCTTGAAAATGAAATTTAAGCCAGAATTAATTATTCAATTTTAATGATCTAATGATTCTTGACGTCTGTTAATGAAAATTCTTAAAATTTAAAAATTTCTGTTCTAGTTGAAACAACATTGAGAATTTGGGTAATCAATTTTTACACTGAAAAAAAAACAGAGATCATGCACAAATTTCTTGAAGCTATGCAAAATAAAGTATTTTCTGTTCTTTTCATTAAGTTTAGGTTTAAAAAAAAAATTTTAGTTTAATAATGATAAAACCTATTAATAACTTGGTATAATTTTCATTTGCTTTATAATTTGCATTTGTTAAAAAAAAAAAAATTAATTTTTTAGGCAGCGTTGCAAATTTGCAAAATTGCAAATTATAAAAAATCTTTTTAGTTTAATGAACCATTACATTAATAATATATTAAATTAAAAGAGTGGGTAAGATAATTTTTATATACTGAATATTTAAAATGTTTATGTTTAATAATGTTACTTCACCAAACTTGACTATACTTGTAACTGACCAGAATTGGTTAATTTTTAATAAGTTATACCATGCAAATTTAGAAGTATGATGGGTTGAGACTCTAGCTAAGATATTGGATCTAAATCACCAAAAATTTAAACAGTTATTTTATAATCTTATAGTAGTAATTAATAACAATGAGAGTGGTATAAAACTAGTTCAGCTAACCAGTTTATCTCATTTTATTCCATGAGTCTACTGCATTTAATGAATTGTACTGCATTTGAGAGTCAGGTACAAATACAAACCTTTAAAAAGATAACATTAAAAAGACCATAAGAAAATACAAAAATAGGTTTTTAAATGCTGACATCAAATAATCTAATGAAAATGGTCCCCAAGCTTTTGTTGTCACGTTATCACTATTATCCCTATTAGGAACTTTTTTCGTTGAAATTATTTTTGAGAGCATATTTTCTTTGCACGGCATAAAATTTGAATACGCCAGTGATAATATAAGGATTGATGTTTGAGTTAGATTTAAGTAGATCTAATATTAGTTATTGCTTCTTTTCTATGTATTTCTCATTACATGTATAACTCATAATATATGGAGCTTACAAGTTTTAAATACATTGAAAGGAAACAATAACTAATATTCAACTTAAATCTAACTCAAACATCAATCATAATACTATCACTGGTGTATTCAAAAGGCCATGCAAAGAGAATATTCTCTCAAAAATAACTCAAACAAGAAATTTTCTTGTTGGGAGACAAAAAGAAGAGTTGCATAGCCACTATCAAGGAGGCATTAGCAAAAACCTATCAGTCAAGAAGATGCAGCATTTATCAAGGCAAGAAACAATGTAACACTGGTTTACATCTACACCAGCCTAATAGATAAAGAAGGGGGTTCGAGACTGAGTAGCAGAACTATTCTGCTTACCCCTAAAGTCTTTTGCCTAGGAAGTTTCCTACAAGACAGTAGCTGGATGCAGTTAACATATGTCTAAGATAAGTATGCTTTCTGGCTGCATAAGGAGCCCTTAGCTACAACTTTGGCTTAATTAACAAGACTAAGACAACTGCATAGCTCATTGCTTAGGAGGCAGTGCTCTTTCTATGAATGAGTCAAGTTCTCTTTAAACTTAAATCATGCTAAAAGTAAGAGCTTTAAATAATAAATATAAAAAACCATCCCCACCACCTAACTGCTTTAAAATACTTTTTATAAA